AATAATAATAATAACTAATACTAATAATAATAATAATAATGCTAATAAATAATAAAATATACATTTATGAAACTATACTAAATATAATAATAAAATTCGTTCTATAACATTATTAATAAAAATAATTTAATTATTTATATAGTTATCTCAAATGAATCCATATCTAAATATACGAAGTATTCTAATTTTAGATAATGCACAAATTTATCATAATAGTAAATTACTTGAATATTTGGATATATTTGGTGTATATATAGAATTTCTTCTACTGTATTCACCAGATCTTAATCCTATTAAAACTGCTTTTCATATATTAAAAATTATTTAAGATGATATAATTATTTTGTAGAAAACTGTTTAGATTCTATATATCCTTTATTAATTGCTTGTTCTCAAATTACATCATTACTTTCTGATACATTTTTTAATAGATCAGATTACAAATAAATTACATTAAATTATTAAAATAATTAATATTATTATATTTGCTAGCATAATCACAAAGAGTTCTTTGTGCACCAATAGTATCTATTCCACATTTTTCAAACTCCTTATCTGATAATTTTAAAAGTATTCATATTGAAATTCTTTGTTGTTTCAATTCTACTAAAAAAATTTGATAATAATTATTTGTATTTTCATTTTTATCAACTTGTTTTAAAAAATTACTAAGAGTTGGTATAGTTAATTTTGTAGTTTGTACTGGTTGTTCTGAAATATTTGAAGTAGAATATAACTGAAGAAGTGCTGAAAATACTTGTAATGAATTATAAAATAGAAATTATAAATATGAATTTGATGATGAAATTAAGTTTGAATCAAATTGTAAATTAGATATTTTTGTTTTGGATGAATGCTAATATGCAAATAATGGATGTATTGGTAGCTGTATAGGTGTAGTTAATCTTTTATTCTTAAGTAATATTAAATAAATAAATTAAAAATATATATTAATTTATTTATAATAATAAAAATATACTTACAATTTCTGATATCCAAATTGAAAGCATTATAAAAATTATTTCAATATGATTTTCTTTACTTTTATCTTTGTTTAAACAAGCTCGATTACGTATATTACAATGATTAGCAGTTCGAATTTCTAAGACATGTTTTGCCATCTTAGTTTCTTCTGATCTAAGATTTGAAATTTTTGAAACTTTATTTTTGTTTTTATATATTTTTGACACATTGTCTTCAGATGTATTGATTTCAGTTTCAAAACTGTTATTCTAAAATAAAATAATTTAATTTTTATTTAAAAAATTAAAATTTTTATATACCAATACTTACTTTTTTTTTACATTTAGTTTTATTTAAAGTTTGTGAATTAATTGTAATAAAAATTCCTATATTTTTTTTTGTTGCAAAAAACTTTTGATAATCTGAACAGAATTTTTGAAAATCCTGAACATCAACTAACTGAGTTTCAACACCTAGTGCTTTTTCTGCTTTGAATGATACATGGTAATCATATGCTTTAATAATTTTATTTTTTGTTAATGTAATTACATTAGTATAAATTTCTACAAGAAATTTATCTACTTCTAATACAATAATCGTATACCATTTAGCTGGTTGAAATTTTCCATCTAATTTAATAAAAACCCTATAATGAATCTCATAATTATTGTTCTCATCTGTAGAATAAGTTTTAATTTTATTATTTTCATCAGATTCAGAAATTTCTGATAGATTTTGAATCATTTTATTTTCTGTTATGGTAAGATCACATATTTCAGAATTAACCTCTATATTATCAGGTATTTCTAAATTAGAAAGCATTCCAATATTATTTGACTTTTTTGTTTGGGTTGAAATTATTCGAGTTAAGGTGCCATTACATCGTGAACAAAGTGAGAATTTGAAAATTTCTTTCATTGTTATTGAATAATTGTATTTTACAATTTTTTCTTTAATAAAAGAAAGTTGATTTCCGATCCAATTAGGATTAAAATTTCTTGTGAATGCATACTTGACAGTACTAGTTCAATTACGTTTGTGTGGTGCTTGAGTTAATATACAGTTGCATCTTTGTTGCTGTAAGTTAATTCCACAATATAAACACATCCGGCATCCGAAACAAGTTCCTCGCTTATATTCAAGTTTTGTAAATTGAGCATCTATTAAATACAACAATAAAAATTATTTATTTGATTTATCGTTATTATTATTATAAGTAAAAAAAAAATAAAGTTTAAATTTGATTAATAATCTAATTTTCTGATTTCCGATTTCCGATTTCCCGATTTCCCATTTTTACATATATATGATAAAAATTGCTTGATTACACCTTTTTGAAAATAGCTATAATATTCTTAAACTATCATATTATGAATAAAATTATACTATCTATTGACTTAAATATTCTCTAAAGAATATATAACATTCAAAAACAGTCTAAGTTTATAGTAAATCAACGTGTTAATTATTTAAATAATAAACCAAAAAAAGAAAAAAATAACGTTAAACTCTACGAATTAAGCAATAATATATTTTTATTACCCTATATAAATACTCGTGTAACGTCGATCCCAGAAATCATCAATGTTCCCTTGCTGGATCTACCGCATGGCAATTTACGATGATAGGAATTTTAAACGCCTGTAGATCTTCCACAAAGAATTCATTACACGAGAGAGGATTTTTTTGTAGGAGAGTTACCAACTATGGAATTTTACGATTTGTTAGCCAATCATATTCGATCTGATAATCAATAAAACTCAATTTCCTGCTGTTCGCCAATTCGATAGCAACCTTTTTTTTTTTAGTTTTGTCAAAATGAAAAATGAATACAAGCAATAGTTGGAAAGAACGAAATTTAACCTGGTGAGTCTTTTTTTTTCTCACTTGACATGACCTGTTGAATGCATAACGGGTGTAAGTTACGCTGCGGTTGAGTGAGCTCGCCGATGTGTGAAAATCTGCGGTGGAGAGTCGCCCGTGTAGACCTGTTGATACGTTCACGGTGCTTCGGTAGATGTGGTAGATGTGAACGTGAGCATGATGAAGACACGAAATGCTAACTTTTTTTTTTCTCAGAACCAACTCATAGAAGGGCTCGTGAACGGAAATTTCGAAGTCAACGATAATTTTCCCAACGAAACAAAGTTTCTAATGGCATCAAAAGAAGATATTTTCGCTCTTGTGCTTTGTGAGCTCAAAGAAAGGAGTCTTGTCTCACACTCAAAATCCGGCATTAATCGACAAATTGGGATAAATGATGTGAAAATCATGTCAAGAAAAAGTTCAACCTTGGGTGTTTTTACAGCAGAGACCATTAATGCTACACGTATATTGAAACTGGTAAGGGATTATATCCATCACAATTGAATCCAACATAAATAATTTAATTTGTGATTGATCACAGGCAAGAGGGATTCACTTTGGATCGGGCACTGTCTCTGCTGTAGGGCGTTTTTGGTGCCATTATTACCGACAAGTATCGTAAACATTCCGCAAAGTCAAAGGCGAAAGAGCTGAACGTTCTTATCACAGATCCCACTGAAGCGTTGAGTAACTTGAGTAAATTTGTGGAGGAAAAAATAAATGAAAGGGAGAATGAGGTGCTAGCGGAATGTCTAAGCAAGCTCATACTTGAGCAAGATGAGATCTAATTTATGCATGTTTAGAATTTTAGATCATGTCATTCAATCTGTCTTAACAACTTACATAAATGTAATTTCCGGAGCAAAGCAGAGGAACTCAAGCCCAGACAATAGGTAAAGATATTGGGTTCCGTATGGGTTCCAGGGAGTTAAAATAAGATAAAATGTTATTTGCAGATTTCAAATATTCAAATAAATCGTATTAGTTATTTAGTGGTATATGGGCAAAGTAATTTTGTAATAATGACCTATGAATTATTTCTTAATTAATATTAAGTATTATTAAATAATTATTACATTCTATTACTTATTACGTATACATATAAAACATTTGATAACAGTCAGAGGCGAGTGATCGAAATTGAGATGGAACGAAAAATTGCTGCTAAGAATAAAATTATTGTGAAATTAACTTATTATTATTTATTGCAAGGTAATATTAAGTAACTGGCTTTGCCTTCTCTATGTAATGTGTATTATAAATTTAACGTTAAGGTTTAAACGCAGCACTTATTTGAGTAATACGCATAGTTGCGTATAATACATTGATTTAGCAAGTATGGTCGATGAGGTCACAACTGAGTATGGAGTAATATATTGTGTATAGTATGTGCATTATATATAAAATTTATGCAAACGTGACATTAAAGAAAACTAAGCTTCGGGCTTTTAAACTTATAATATCGGGTCCAAAAATTTAATAGGTTGAGTCTATAACGTTATATTGATAGTTAAAAGCCCGAAGGTTAATATGATCGTTAAATAGCAAATGCAAGTGATGGTAATGATTATTTTATTTCTTTTTTTAAAAAAATAAAATTGATATTTAAAAATGTTCATAAACAAAATGCTTTTGAATGATATTAGTTCTGATAACAAATCCATATTATCAATTGATAGCTTTTTTGATGAAAATTTTTTTGAAAATAATTCTTTTATTGAAACTGATAAAAAGGAAAATTTTCTTAAAAGTAATAATTCTTTTGATAAAAATTTCGAAAACTTTAATATTGATGATACATTTGAAGATAGGATTTCTGTGGGTTCTTTTTTATGAGAAGTTTCTAAATCTTTACCTGAAATAGAAAATTCAAAAATATTTCTTACAAAAAGTTTGACTACTAAAGAAATAATTTATTTATTAACTTCAATTGAATATCCATCTATGTATAAAGAAGGAATTGCTATAGTATATTATATTAATAAGTAGGAAAATGTAAATTTAGCATTTGCAGATGCAAATATTTAGATATAATATGTATTGATGTATTTCTCTGAAAATAAACACTTTCCAAAAATAAGCATCCTTTAGTTTGTGTTGTATCCAAAAATAAGTATCTCCTAAATATAATATCTAAAAATAAGCATCTTCCAAATATAATATTCAAAAATAAGCATACACTAAGTATAATACTGAATTGATACAAAATTTTATAATTATAAATGAATTAGTAAATAAATAGATTATCTTTTAAACTGTTAATTTAACTATATATCTACTATAATTTAGACTACAATTTAATATAATTGATATTTAATTAGATCAATTATAAAATTTTTAGACAAATTTGTTTAAAAAACAGTTTAAAGAATAAGTTTTTTTTACTAACTTAAAACTTTAATACTTTATTACTGTGAGAGTTTCTTTTTATTCAATGTTATATTTTGTTTATAAAAACTTTTTATAAAATAAAAAATTATATAAATTTATTTGTAATGCATACAATTTAAAGTTAGAAAATTAAAAAATACTTATTTTATAAATATAGCAAGTAAAATATAGCTTGGTTCTTAATATTTATTTTATTTATTGCATTAGTTTATTCATTTTGTAAAATTTATATTACTCTGTCTAAATATTAATATAATTTGTTATTTAAATCAATATACATTATCTAAATATTTACTTTATAACTTATTATATTGTTATAATTATTATTATTATAATTATTATTAATATTATCATTATAATTATTATTAATACTATTATTACTTTATTAACATCTTTATTAGTATCTATATTAGCATCTTTATTAGTATCTTTATTGGCATCTTTATTGGTATCTTTATTAATATCAATATTATTAACTTCTATTTTATTTTGATAAAAGTATTTAAAATTATTTGCTATAATAATATTTTTTATTTTAGCAAACTTTTGACAATAAATGAATTTCTTACATTTATTCTTTTTGGTATTATTATTATTATTATTATTATTGTCTTTTATCACAAAGATTAATAACTTTAAAATCTAAATTTGATTTACTTAAATCATTTAAAATCCTATATTTTTTAAATAATTTTATAGTAATTTTATAAAAAATTTTATTTCAAATATGCTTAATCTATATGCATATATTATCTAATTTAGTATAATAAAAATTTCTCTTGACAGTATATTTAGCACTATTTTTTTTTATTAAATATGCTATGTTTTATAAAAATTGTCCTTGAATGATTTATTAATTATAATGTCTAGTAGTTGGCAAATACTAGTTAAACTTGTTAAAATTATAGCTAAATCAAAATCACATTCACAGAACTTGTATTTAACAAATTCTTTTAAATAACCTTTGAAGAATTATATACTAGTATTACAGGAATTTTCTTAGTTTCATCTTGCAATTATATATTATTAAGATAATTATTAGCAAAATTTTTAAGCAGATTTATATTGATATATAGCATTTAATCAATATATATTAATTAAAAATAATTGATATATATTAATTAAATTGCTATATATTAATATATATTACTAATAATATATAATAATTAATGATATATAATAATTATAAATAATTATGATTTTTATAAATTTTGTTAAATTTTTTTAAACTTTGAATTTAATTTTCTTAATAACTAGTAATTCAAATTGGCTCAAATTTTTATTGTAAAAAATAAATATGTTTAACTATAATATACTGTAATAGAATTTACTTTTTTTTTTATATTAGTATATATTTATTTTTAGCTCTATATTATATTTTATATTTTTT